ATCTTAAGAATTGAGTGAAAATGCAATTTTTTTATTTCTATTTATTACACATGAAGCTCATCTAAAATGAATTAACAGTCGAATTCAATTCGATTTTAAAAGTAAATTTTATACTAATTAATATTAAAAACTAGTATAAGATACATAAGGAGAAAGAAAGGAAAGGAAAGAAAATAATACACAAACAACTAAATAATAATTCATGTGTAAATAAATAAGAAAGAAAAAAAGAGAATGTACACAGCTAGCGTAGACACAAACCCACAACCGGAAAATGCAAGTAAATCCCGTACAAAAGCTCGGCAAACGGTACAGTAAACAACACTAATTAATTTTTTAGATCATAATGAGATGTTAAAGTTAACATCACCTAGTCCTAGTTTAAATACGGCATAGGCAAATCGCGGGTATCAAGCAAGCTCGTTTTGATAGACTGTAAGGAATCCGATATTGAGATTAACTGATTGGCAACATTTAGGTTTCCGCAAGCAACTCTAAACGGTTTAAACTGCTCATAATTATATTTACATTGACTCACCTTAATGAACATAAAGGGCCTAGAGAAGCGTTTAGGGACATTAAAGCTTATCTCATCAAGTAATGTGGATGCATCGATGGTACCATTAATTAACTTAATGAAGAAGGAGACACCAAGGATAAATCTACGTTTCTCATCAAGTCACGCCAAGGATAACGGAAGCAATCTATTTTCATAAGGAGGAGATGGAGAAGCAGGTGTCAACCCAAATTGCTAAGGGCAAACAGCAAGAATTGCTTTTAAACTGATTCAATTGAATCTACATGACGCACCACATACACAATCGAAGCACACCCTAGTACTGGTCTAACTATGCGCATGTATAGCCTTTTTGTAATCTCGGGACCCTTCAGCTCTTTACACTACCTCTTAATGAAACTAAGCGCGGACCTAGCTTTACATAAAGAGAGCTGAATGTAAAAATCAAAACGAATAGAACCCTTAAATCGATGAACGAATCAACGCTTTCCAACTTATGAGAATCAAGGACATACTCAGTACAGACTTCCGTCTTACGAAAGAAAGCTTCGTGTATTTATTTAGATTTCATTTCATAAAATGTAACGAGCACGATCTAACCAAATTGTTTAAATTGCGACGATTGCGACTCCAAAGAGAGGGAAGAAAACATTTTAAGATCGTCAGCGTGCATTAAGATCTGGCAGGATTTAATCACCGAGGAGAGATGACTAATTTGTAAACTAAATAAAAGAGATCCTAAATGACTGCCTTGAGGGACGTCAGACGTCACGGGAAATTCGTTCGACGTAACAAAGTTAAACAGAAAACATTGAAAGATCTGTTATGCAGACAAGAGCTTATGCATTTCACTATGTTGGAAGATAAGCCAGGGGTATACAATTTGAAGATCAATAAATTGTGGTTAACTAAATCAAACACTTTGCTAAAATCAATGTATGCGACATCCATGTCTTGCAGCAGAACGTCGTAGACAGAACCACTTTTCATAAATTTTTTGAAAAGTTTGTTTATCCTATGTTTGTAATATGGCGGGCACCTGCTTCGAGGCCGAGTTTGCTTAAACGGACGCAGAAATACATTATAGAACGACGGCAATAAGGTTTCAATATTTCCTGGAAGAGAAATCGAGCTTAATATATGAGGAACGAGATTTGGTTTTGTTAAAACCATAATATTTATTGGAAGAAGTTGGATTTGCCACATTAGAATGTCAGAACGGACCATCATGCCTATAATAAAAGGAAATACAAATTGCTAGATGATACAGATCCTCAGGTAAGCTAAAAGGTGGACAGCGATTTACAACTATCAAAAATCTAGCATTCTGCCATTACAATTGGGAGTACGGTTGTAGTCAAGTAAATTGCGATCATTGGGGTTCATTGAAAAATCCAATAGCTCCATCAGATGTTAGAGTGGGAACGATGCAGAGAGAATTATCACTATAACGCCAAGTGACTTGACTGAGTGTAACAAATTGAAGCACCCCCACGCTGTGACTACACATTAGTAGATTTAGACTTTTCGGCCACGTTACAAATGAGGGCAGCATGTTTCCTAGAAATGAAGATATCCGCATTTGGGAAAATATAGGAGCAAGTTACGTATAACTGGTTATTGGCAATTTTTAACTGAATGATAATAAAATCAATGTCGGGAGGAGTAGAAAATTATCATGAATCATTCTGATTCAGTGCCCACTTTTGTTCAACGTGATGTAAAAAAGCACTCCATGTCAAAAAGTAACAGACAAGACATTGAAAAGAGAAGAGAGACAGATTGTGAAAAAAAAAAAAAAACAAACAAGTTTGTCTCGCACACAAAAATGATCTCTCAAATTGGACATCAATTTCGTACTACTAAAGACACAGTAAGCCAAGAGAAGAAGCTATAAAGACGCAAAAAAAAATAAAAATAAAAGAAGAAAAACACAAGAAAAGACTTATTATGGAGAGCATCTAGTGCTGATTGCAAAAACCGAAACGAATATCACGACAAGAAGATCAATATAATTTAATTAATTGAAAAACTTTTATACTTTGTTATTAATCCTTTGCACTCGAAGTTTTTTTCTGATTCGTATTACAATCCGCGAGCTGCGACTGTCATTTGTCACCAACAGCGCAACACCCGAATACTAGTTTTTACGATTGGTTTTTGTTTTTATGTTAAGAATTGAAAATTATTTACAATGATGTCTCCGTAGCGGAGCCCTCGAACGCAAAGGGTTAATTATTCTTCAAACGTGCGTAAAGCTGTAAAGCAATAAGATAAGAAAAAAAAGAAGTTGCAAAATATCTTTGCACAAAGTAGAAGTAGTACAGCCACAAGGCGCCCGCGCACATTTACCAAACTTAATGTCACTTATCACAAGTTGCAAGAGTTTTCCAAAAGATACACTCTTGCACTTCAAATGGGAAATTTTACCCCAGTCAGCGTACTCACCAGACATCGCACCTCCTGATTACCACTTGTTCAGATCGGTGCACCATGACTTGGCTAGCACGCGGATCCGCAAAGTTGAAGAAATGCGAAAATTGATCGGTGATTAGATCGCTATCAAACCAACACAAGTTCTTTCGATATGGTATCGCCATGTTACCAAACCTATTGTAAAATATTGTCGAAAATGATGGAAACTATTTTGATTAACATATATATGGCGCCAATTTTTCGCAATAATTGCCTTTTTCAAGTTAAAAAATAATTAAAATTCTTGCAAACAATTAATTAGATTATTTCGGGCGGAAGCGAAAGCATTCAAGCGATGAGAAAAGTGATTATTTATTTAGGCTTTTCTTTTGAGTGTTTCCATGCAGTGGACGTAAAAGCTTTCAATGAAATCCGGCTAATGGTAATTTTAAAGGCAAACATTTAATAAAGTATCCTTTGCATCCCAAAAAGCTTGACGACATAATCTTCATTGATGATTACTAAATTGATAAATCGATTTCAGTTCGTTCTGCAATATTTGTTGCGTCTCCCGTATACCACGATTAATTCGTACGGCCTCTATCGAAACTTCGTTATACAAATCTTTTTATTCATTTATTTAAATTAAGATATATTTTCAATAACGGAAGAATGCTCGCCGCAAATACTAACTAGTTGTGCAAACAAACAAATGGGCAGACGGGCCTGTTTAAATGTATTCCAAATTTGAAACTTGCCAAGAATGCATTCAATTTTAGTAAACCATAGTATTGGGTACGCGTAGTTAATTTATTCCATCATAGCTTATTAGTAATGAGCAAAAAAACCAATTACTTGTTGCTTTTAAAATACAGAGGTTACGGTTAAGGTATTTGGCGCACTTTCATTACCAACCTGCGTAAAAGATGTCGCTGTGACATTTTAAGTCGATAGCGTCATTTTTGCGGCCAAGAGAATGCTTACAACATAATACAGAGGCAGTGACAGACGGGTGGACAGACGGACATGCTTACATCGATTTAGAATTAGATGCTAGTCAAGAACAAAGACACTTTGTGGGGTCTTTGATGCTTCCTTCCGAGCATTGCAAACATTTCGAGGCAATGAATATAGCCGTCAACCAAGTAGATATGGTTTAACCGGTCAAAAAAAAAAAAAGCACTTCAATCGCTTTGATACCAAATATTATCGCTTGACTTCAAATTGCTATTTATTTGAAACGACTCGAAGCGATGCGGTTATAAAACTTTCTAGCGCTCTGCTCCTAAATGCTAACCTCTCCGACTGCAGTTGTAATAAACACTGTACATGTCGATCTAAATATTCAACCTGTTAGCAATTTAGTTCGACCCTTTTTTAAGGGATTTTAAATAGATTTTCAAATTGCTAAGCACGAGCTTATATTCCATCAACTTATTTGCTTCCTTCAATTAAATGCGTACTTGACTCTAATGCCTCTATTTTGAAGTAAAGTTTCCCGCAAATGCCTTCTTATACCCTTTAGAGTGATCATTTATATAGTGTTGCGTATATCTTAAAGACAATTCAAATAAAGAAGTCACAATTTTGTCCTATACCCTTCAGTACTAATTACAATCCCTCTTGCCGAACCGGTCCAAAATAATTTCTACTCCCAATATAAAGCTCATGTTGTTACACTATTCTCGTTAGGAACAAATTGTGCGCACTATCTGTGATGATAGTAAAGGCCGTAAATTAGATCTGTGGCAAAAAAGGAAAAATGAACAGTGTATCAAGTGGTAAACAATGTCCCAAAGCTGAGCTGACATTTTCTTATGAAATCATGAGCGCCGACCAGTTGAAATAATGCTCATTTGCATTCAATCATGTGGAAAATAAAAAGAATCATAGGCAAAATCTGATATTATTCAAGGTTAACGGATTATCCCGTGGTCGATCCAACAAATACCATTCGAAGGTGAATAAAAGAAACGTATACAAAATGAAACGAAACCTTTTACATAAGTTTTTAAATTGATATCATATGAGTATAAAAAATAAGGAAATAAGGACTTAAAAGCAACACGCTATTGGTTTAAGTTCCAAATTTGGTTTCTCTTATTCAAATATAATTTAATCAGCAAAGCAAGGTAAAATGATTAGTCGCTGTTTACAGCGTTGACAATGATTATAATATGGAAGCAAGTGCCACGATGCCGGTATTTCGTTATTAATGCGCACTTTGTTTATAAATAACACCCGTCACTTCGCCATCCTTTTGAATAATGCAACGTCTGAAACGAACGTAATAAGAAAAAATGTCAGATGGTCAACTTGCCGTAACAATCATCCAATAGTTTACACATACTTATTCCCACTGTACAAAACGATAGTAGGTGGATTTTGATTTGGTTCCAGTTTGCAGGCTTGTTCCGATATGGCCATTCCAATGCCAGACATATTTAGATTAATTTTACCTTTTGCTATTTTTTTTTTTTTTGGTTTGTTTGTAATAATAAAAAAAATTTTATTTTGTTTATTTCTTTTTTCTTCCAAACATAATTTACCTCCTAGGCATAGACCCTGACGATTAGCTATTAAACATCCTACGGTATCAGGCTGTTGAACGCTGTGTAATTCATTAATATTTTATTTTCTTGAACAGAAATAAAAGATAAATTTCTTACATTTCCTTTAAAACTTTATCTAAATGTTGCTCCATTTTAACTCTAAAAACAGAAGCACTTTGCTGTGACTATTATTGATAAACAAAATTGAATTTGTTGAGAACAGCTGTTTTCAAAAGTGCTGCCATTGTCAATTTTTTTTTAACGAACAAGAAGTTTATCGATTAATGGAAGACGAATTCATCGGTAAGCTATCGATAAAGTTATCAAAAGTATCAATGCATGTACGCAAATAAGAACACTTACATCAAAATAACTAAAAAAAATTTATGAGCGTTTTTTTCCCTAAACTCTTCAGAAGATAAAGTGTATGTCTATGTTATAGCTTTACAAGCAATAGGTTCCAATTAGCTTCATCGACATTAAAATTCTATTTATCGAAACGCCAACCAATGAAAAAAATATAAACTTTTAGCTTTCGTATTCAAAAATATTATATATAATATTAGTTTGGGGAAAAAGAAATCCATTATTTTTTCGGTAGATGGCTGCACTGATAGATTTCTCGTAAAGTATCGATCAAACAATTTCCAATACTGTACATTTCGCAGTAAAAAAAATTATTTTGCTGTTTTTTGTTTGGTGCATTCAGTTGTGAGTTACAGCGTGTTAAAAATGGAAGTGAACAAAGAGAAAATTCGGTACATTTTACAGTTTTTCTTTGACAAAGGTGGAAATGCAAGCCAGGCCGCTAAAATTGTGAATGGTGTTTATGGTTCCGATACTGTAACAGCCAATTATGTGCAATTTTGGTTTCGTAGATTCCGTTCAGGAATTTTTGATGTTAAGGATGCACCTCGCACAGGTAGGCCGGTCGTCGAAAATGTCGATAAAATCGGAGAAATGATCGAAGTTGACCGGCATGTTAGCAGTCGTAACATCGCTCAGGAGCTAAAAATCGACCATAAAACAGCTTTAAACCATTTACACAAAGCTGGATTCAAAAAGGAGCTCGGTGTTTGGGTGCCGCACCAATTATCAGAAAAAAACATGATGGATCGAATTTCCATCTGCGAAGCCTTGGCCAAACGGAATGAGATAGACCCATTTCTTAAACGAATGGTGACTGGAGATGAGAAATGGATCACATACGATAACCCTGTGCGAAAACGATCGTGGTCAAAGAGCGGTGAAGCACCTCAAACGGCCAGAAAGGTTTTGCTATGCATTTGGTGGGACTGGAAGGGGATTATTTATTATGAGTTGCTTCCATACGGCCAATCGCTAAATTCTGATCTCTACTGTCAACAACTGGACCGTTTGAAGATAGCGATTGACCAGAAACGGCCAGAATTGGCCAACAGGAGAGGTGTCGTGTTCCACCAGGACAACGATAGGCCACACACATCTACAGTGACTCGCCAGAAACTTCGGGAGCTTGGTTGGGAAGTTTTAATGCATCCGCCATACAGTCCGGACTTGGCACCAAGCGATTATCATCTTTTTCTTGCATTGCAAAAATTCTTTAATGATAAAAAATTGCAATCTAGGGAGGATTGTGAAAATCGACTACTAGAGTTTTTTGCAAACAGAGACCAGGACTTCTATGAGAGAGGCATTTTGAAGTTACCTTTAAAATGGCAACAAATCATACAACAAAACGGTGCATATTTGACCCAAATCGGACATTCCGAAGTGTGGTAAATAAAGTCCTGAAGTTCATATAAAAATAATGGATTTCTTTTTCCCCAAACTAATATATCTTTCCCGACCAAAAAAAATTATTGTTTTTTCCATTGACGCAGTTATTTAACAATGAACTCTTGGAAGACATTTTTAACAGCGTCACGTTTATGAAAATTAAATTTGATGACGTCATCGAAGGCGCTCACCTTTAATTTGAAAAAGAAATTTCAAGTTGGAAATTAATCGCATTTATTACTAGTTTTGTATTTTCTATATATTATTTTGTAAAATAAATAAAAATTTTGCTTCGTGATCCACACCACGTTCTGGTACTAGGCCATTTTAAATTTGTGCGGGTGCATGCAGCACAACGTACTTGAGATAGACTCAGCTTTTATTATACCAATCAATTCAGAACCACAATCTGATTTTCTTATGTTCGACCTACAGTCCTCAATTTTTAAGATATTTCGATAAAATTTGGTACATCACATATATTGATCCAAGAACGAACGTTATTGCAAACGATTTGGATCGGATAATCACGTTCCATATAACACGTCAAGCCGATAACTATTACGACAAATGGTACAGGGTATTAAACTCCTGTCCCGGTATATTATTTTTGCTTGTTTTAAATAAGCTTTCATTTAAATGAACTAAAACATGGAAAATATAATATACGACTTTTATGGAATAATATGCAAACGCCTACAGCGTTTGAGTCGTCCATACAGCTCTTTGGGATAATGGAAACTTGCGCAAACGTAATTCTCGTAACTGCTTCTTTTGCATAGTTAGTTGCACTTATAATACCAAACATAATAGTACAGAACTGGCAACAGCAGTTGAGAAAGGATAGCCATAAAGAGAAGAGTTTATGACAAGGTATGGAGAGTAGTACAGGAAGCGATTGATCCATAATTCTCTGTCGCAATATGATAAATATATAGTAGTATTCACCCCAAAGCGGGTGAATCTTCATTCTTCGTTTTATTTCAGTTTTCTGTTAAAGTTCTAAAATAAGTTTTATTTATGAAATTCTCTTCAAACAACATAATCAAATCTTTCCAAATTTCCAGTTTTCAAAATTCATTTTCAATTTAAGCACAACTTACTAACATAATATTTATTAAGTTGTGCATATCTATGTAAGAATCTTAAATGAAGTATTTAATGCATTTAAAAATATTTTTTAGTAATCATCCGCAAAAAGTTTAAACAATTTCATATTTGTCGACGAACAGTAGAGTTTCTGTTGAGAATTTCACAGAACTGTCATCGTCCACTAAAGTCACATCCTTAGCTTTTAAAGCCACGTAAGGGGTCTTAGAAACAAAAGTTGCCTGAAAATATGACGCATTAGATATTGGAAAAAAAATTCAAACTTTTAATATACCTGAACTGGGAAGAAATCGCCGTGTATGGACGAACTGCAACTAAATTCCATTGAACCCATTTTATTGGCTGCATCAATAACCGGTATATTCCATTGAAGTATGTGTTTGCGAGAATCATAATTATAAGTGCCGTCGTATTCGACTACATTCGGTTGAACGTTTACGCTGTAGTTATTTTGTTTTAAATATTTCATAACTTTTTACTGTCAACAATATATATATAAGAAATAAATTATCTTACGGTAAAGGTATGACGATGGTCACATCTTGTAATTCTAAATGTTGAGCTTCCAAATCATACTCTATACTGACATCGCAACCTCCTTCACCATTTTCCGAAGGCCAGCAATTAACTGCAATATAATGGTAAAATATTAATATTTAATTTTCACAAGTAAAAAAAATTCCTCATTTCTCTACTTGTCAGGGGAATGGCCGAATCATCTTGGCTAACGAAGCGCCATTTCAATACGCCTACATCCGTGTTCAAAGGGAATGGTTTAGTGGGATTTTTCAAACCAATTATAGAACGAGTTTTAAATAATTCCTTATCCACATTAGGGTGGGTTTGTAATTGAATACCATGGGTGTCATCATTTTGTAGTTGCACCTTAATACGCCCGAGATTTTCATCGGTAATGCGTAACGTGAGAAGACCAGATAGCTCGAATTGTTGTAAACCTCCATCACGGCCAATACGTACAACTAATTTATCCTCCAATTTCAAATGAATACTAAAATATTTAAATATACCAGATATACATATTATGAGGAAACCTATTACAAAGCCAACAAGTACATTCGCTTTGGAGCGAATTTCGCTTACCCACCATCTCAAACTAGTTCTTCATATATTGTCAGCGTCTAGTTTGCTTGATTGAGGGCATTTTTATCCCAAATAATAGATCAAATTGCAAAACCGGTATCGAGCTTTAGATTATCATCGGATACATATCGATGGTTTTCTCTTTGTCCGTTGTAGTTACAGTTATTTAGATATAGTAAGCAAATTACGTCCGTTTTAAAATCTAATTTGGAGACTTAAATGAAAATAGATATCCATTTCTCAATTTTTGTCCCTTACAGCCTTAGCAGACAAAAGGTAGGCGGACGGACAGGAATGCATTACTACCGAACGTCAGACTAATGAAGAATACGCAAATTTGATGTGCTCTTCCAAATGCTACGATCGAAATAAAAATAATGCACCGTCGTCCTTTGGGACTGGACATATTAAGAACAAACACTATTTTACCTTTCGGTATGTATATCAGAAATAATTTTTGCTTTAGCGTTGGCCACTGCTTGATTGCTACTAGCTGGTGTTGGAGTTAAATTAACAATTTTCTCTCCTTCGCTTTTTAATTGATCTACAAAACTGTCCACATCCTTCGACTTCCCACCCAATTTTAAGGCGTTACGGGAAATTGGTTTTCTACAAATGAAATTATACGATATTTACAAATAAAAAGGAACAATATTTAGAATGCTTACTGTGGTTTTGGTAAAATCGGCTTATTGTCGATTTCAATTGAAGGTGTATTTATACCACTCATACTGCCACCGCTGGAACCAAAACCATCAGAACTGAAACCACCACTTGACCGCCCCATACCAGCGGAAGTACCCCGTTTCGCGCTCTCCATCCTTTGTCTCTGTAATTCTTTAGCTTTCTCGCGCATTTTCTGTCTAGCTTCTCGCTCCTGCGTTTGACGCACCGCCTGATAAACCTTTTCTTCATGAGAATCCATCTCTACGAATGTTTTAATTTGAGCTAAATTTACACTTTCTCTGTAACCCAAAGCAACGATCTCGTCAAACGCAAAGATTAAATTGAAAGCATTGTCCAATATTTCTTTTTCTTCTAAACTGTGGCAATATTCTGGTATCTGTAATACTTAAGAATTATTATATACTGAGTTTCACTATTATTCTAGACTATTCTAAACTGACCACTTTAGAAAATAAACGTAATGTCTCCAGATCTTCCAAAATATTACTGGCTTTTGTTGTTATTAAAAGCATATACAATTTTTCCAATGGTTGATACACATAACGTACCGAGTCTGTCTCCACGTACGTATGTTGTTTACCGGCAGTCATTAGCTTAGGAAAAGCAGCTAATAAACCTTCGATACGTGCTTTGGTCATTTCCACAAATTGTCGTGAAATAATTACTAGAAATAAAAATTTCTCATTATGTATTTACAATGTTAATTAAATCTATTTACCTTTGCCATTTTTAGTACACACGGCTGCAGCTATCAATACCTGCTTACCCAAAACATGTTCACATTTAATCAAGTCATAAAAATTTCATAAGTAATTACTTACCATTTTTCCTTTGCAATTAATTATATAAAAAATTATTACTATCCAATGCCAATAACGCACTTTGTTTTCTTAATTATTATAAATTTTTTTTAGATAGAATAGCTGACGTGTTCGATTAATTTTCTTCTTAAACTCAATAAAAATATATGTCAACTCTAATAACTACAAATTAAAGTCAGAGATGTTTCGCACCCGTGCGTTTTTAATAATACATAATGATTACTTGCATACACAGTGAAGTTGTATAACCCTATTACTTAGAAAATGTCATTATTATGCTTCCTACGGAAAAAAATATTGCGTATAAGCGACGCTCCAGTTAGTAAGATTCCATATAGATACAATTTTACGATTGTTTTTATATTTTTTCAATCTTTACGAACAAATCAGAAAGTGTGTCTCAACTAAAATAACACACAGCAAGCGGTCTCTATGCGCCAGCTTTTAATTTTTTACCGCTATGCTTTTAACTGGACGTACAAGCTATCAAATTTACGTAAAATTTTAATTTGTGTATTTCATTAGATTTTCATATAATCCCTCTTCTGATGATGAAGATAATACCAGGAAAGATTTAGATTTTGTTCTTGTGCAAATAGGAAGCTATGCCCAGTAAATTTATATACAAAATATATATATGCGTTTATGACAGTGTTCTGAACTGACATTCTAATTATATGTTTCATAAATCAAGTTTTCTTTACTTCAGTAGTTTTATTTTCTTTAACATCTCTGTTATATTTAATTTGATAAACTTGACTGTATTGTCACTTTGGCGCAATTATTCCGGATAAGATAGTTTGATAAAATATTCCACGGCGAGAATTTTCATCGCGAACGAAGTTATTTAAATTACCATGAGTTTGGAAGAAGTTATTAACGCATATTTTGTAACTACTAATTCCGGTGTCAAAAATGCTGAGGGAGAGAACAAAAGTGAAAAGGATTTCGCAAAAGCTCTTAATTATCTGAAAAACAACATACCCGAGGAGAATATTAGGCAAATAAAATCTAGTGGAGGCTTCCCACTAATAGCCTCCGGTAAACTTACGAAAAAAGATGTATTTGTTTTCGACCGTTTCGAGGGGGACTTTTTTGACCAGCTCCAACAGACAAAGAGTTTGATTGTCGGAGCCCCCTGCTTGATTCGTTGTTTGATGAACAATGAAGCCATACCGTTGGGTACAAGTCCAGTGTACACTACGGCTATGCGCGATTTGCAAATTTCAGCAACGGGTATTGCATCACAAGAGAAGGAACGCCTAAAGACTTTAATTGAATGGATGGGTGGCCACTACTTTCAAAACTTTGGTCGTTCCATAACCCATCTAATATCTAATACTATCAAATCCAATAAATATGAACACGCCACCCTTAATGGTATACCGGTGATGCATGTCGATTGGGTTCAACGTGTTTGGGAAAGGAGTTGTAATGATGATATTATAGCAACTGATGAAGAATTTGAAAAATATAAGCTGCCAATATTCTTTGGCGTGAATGTAACCTGTACTGGCATAGAGACAGATCAAAGGAATGAGATTATGCGTTTAGTTAATGATAACGGAGGAACTTATCAACGCGACTTTCGATCCCATTCAGTAGACATTGTTATTACTAAGAAAGATAAAACCGATTCCGAGAAATACAAGGCGGCTGTTCGTTATAAAAAGGACATTTTAATACCAGAATGGATATTTGATAGCGTTCAAAAAGGTTTTGCTCTGCCTCCACAAAAGTATAAAGTTAAGTCGTTAAAAGTTTCCACACCCACAAAGGATAATCAAAGTATCGCAGATTTTATAAATAGTGACAACACACAATTGTCCGATTTATCACGAATTAGTGCCATTGGAAATAAATTTGTCAGCAACGAACTTTCCACGGTGAATGATACAATTTCTTCTGCTATGAATGATACGCAACGATTTGCAGTCCCAGCTCCTATACCCACAAAAGAGTTAAGAAAGGATGTTCTTAAAAAAACTACAAGTGGTTCTCATTATCGTGAGATTTTTGAAGACATAAATCCCAAAGAAGCTAAAAAAGCTGGTCATTTTTTGGATGGTTGTTGTGTGTATCTAAGTGGGTTTCATTCTGAAGAAAGAGAAAAATTGAATCGCATATTGAATGCTGGCGGGGCCACGCGTTATGATGCGATCAATGAAGAGCTTACTCATATTATTGTAGGACAGCTAGATGACCATGAATTCAATTCATGGAAAGCTAACAACTTACTAGCAGGTTCGTTGATGAGTTGATTATTTAATATATTTTTGTAGTTAACACTTTTTTCTCCACTCGATTATTTCAGGTGTTCATATAGTTCGTTTGGAATGGTTATTAGAAAGTATAAAACATAAACAACCTGCCAGTGAAGTTATATATCGTGTTTCGTTGCCCACTGCCCGAGAACCGGATGCTCCTTCACCTTCTTCGAAAAGAACTTTACGTTCAATGAATCACAGTTTTAGGCAGACACAGAAACCGATACGGAAAATATTATTTCTTGAGGAGAACGAAAAAAATGAAAGCCAAATATCGCCCTTGCTTACACCACTAGCCTCTTCTACCGAACAAGTACCCAGTGCGGAAGAGCGAGTTTTAATTGCTCAGTATTCTCAAGAAAATATTCCTGCAGCAGTAATACCTGTGGCTAACCCAATAGATCAATTGAACCGAAATGGTTCGGCTGGGAATTCCTCAACAGGCGGCTCGGTTAAGGAACGCCCTGCTCCACCTGTAGCGTCAGCTGTAGCAGCTGCTCCTATTCAACCGAACTCCGTTAATCTCACAGATAGTACTGGTATGACTATAGATACGGAGAATTTGGATTTCTTTAAAGGCATGTCGTTGTACATAGATAAGAATAATTTTCTTGAAGAATTTTATTCACAAATGGTTAACGAGTGTGAAGGAGCTCATGGTAATGTTGTACCGTCTACTTTTCAAGATACAGTAGATTACGCAATCGTTCCATTTGAACACACTTTTGACCCAAAAACATTACCGGTTAAAGCTAAACACATAGTAACGGAACTGTATGTGGTAAGCTTCTTTTCTTTTTTTGTTGCTACTATCGGAAACTCATATAAATGTTTGTAATTATAGGAAAGTTGCATGAAAGTCAACAAACTTGTACCCATCGAATACTATCATAAACACATACCCGTAACGGCGAACAATCAACCCTTGGAAGGTATGATTATTGTCATTTCAGTTTACACTTTACTCGAAAGAGATTTCATTGAAACCGTTGCTCAGTTGATGGGTGGAACAGTTAATAAAACATTTGTGAAGAAAGAGAAACCATTATTGATATGCCCTTCACCTGAAGGATCAAAATATGAGGGAGCTATTAAATGGCGTTATCCAGTAGTTACATCATCGTGGTTAACGGATTGCGCTAAGAAAGGTAAGAAGCTACCTTATTTGGAATATTTAGTGGGTGATAGTCCTGAAGATTTTCCTCCATCGCCAAATTTACGGGGCAAACCAATCGATAAACCGATACGAACACCTTTAGCAAATATAGAATTAGATGCTAATCCAAATCAGAACGATTTGGAAACGCCAGGTGCGTCATCCGGTAATAGATCGAATATTGTCGATGCTTTTACTCCTTTACGTAATAAACGTGTATCCGAATTGGCTGGCACGAGCCATATAAGTAGATTATCAAGTGGCTCCAGCCCAGAGTCGCCGCATACTCCCGCGGACAACTACAATAGGCCTTCATATAACTTTGATTTTATGGAGAAAATTCTGTCTGAAATAGAGGATGAAGATGAGCGTGAATGTCTTAGAGAGGTTATCAATGATATGAAAATTAATCAGACACCGGAATTGGAACGTATTAGACGTCAAGCCTGCACCCCGATTAATAGAAAAATACCTACACCTAAGGGTATACCGGATTTTTGCACTACGCCCGAATTCAAAAAACGTATGGCAGATGAGTTTGAAAGGCGTTGGCGTTTGCCCACAAAAAAACTGAAACCTGATACACCCATTGAAGTAATACGTAAACGAGTGATTTTAGCCACAGCTAAAGCATTGGGTATACCATGCGGTGATGAAAATGAAAATGAAGAGCAACCCGAATCCTCAAGGAATTACATGACACCGATTACGCGCTTAACAACGAACAGCAACACTAACACTCCCCTACAGTGCAGTAATATATCAAAAGCCACTGGAGCACCGCGTTCTATATTCGATCAAAATGCAACGAATTTAACTACAACGAATATATCGATAAATTTAAATCGAGTGGAAACACGCCCATCTGATACATTTGTGCCGAATACCCAAAGCCCTAGTGGTATAGGTCAACGGGCTTCGCTTGGTGGCAAGTCAACCATAAATTTCGATAAAATCAGTTTCGAAGAAACCTCTTTGGGTGAAAATGTCACAATCACAGATAACAATCAAGGTGCCGTTCCAGCTATGAAAACTCCCGAGATTAAGCAGATTACCGATTATTTACGTAATTGCGATACTCGACGTCAAAGTTTAAAGCGTTCCCGCGTCAGCAGTGAGCGTCAACCAGCAACTTTGGATGGAATGATGGAAACTGAGGGGCATTATGTGCAACCATTTGAATCAGAGCAATTAGCTACCGATGATATGGTTGGCTGGCGCGATCCGGGGGAATTTGATGGCCAAAGACGTTCAAAGGTAGCAGAAACGACAATGCAATTCAAGGGCACCCCACGTTTTAGTATATCCTGTTCGAATGAACAAATACGCGATAATGTTATAAGCAAAATTATGCAGCTGGGTGGTGAGGTAAATGATCGATCAATATTTTTATGTGTTTTAGTACTGATCAAGTTTCTTTAAATATCTTTTAATATTCAATAGATTTGCGATAATTTAGTAAATTTTGATCCTGAATGCACGCACTTTTTATGTGAACGTCCAAATCGCGGTGAGAAATTTTTAGGTTGCATTTCTTCGGGTAAATGGATACTTAGCTTAAAGTACATTGAAGAGTGTTTTGCCAAGGACAGATTTATTGATGAAGAACTTTACGAATGGGGCAATTGTAAGGCACTCAATCTGCCTCAGTTAACGCCCGAAGATCAAATTATAGCCTTAGCAGCGTATAGATGGCGCAAAGACTTATCCTCGACTTTAACGAATGATCGCAGAGGCGCATTTAGCGGCATACGAGCCATATTACGGATATCGGGTCGTAATGTTGACGCCTTAAAAAATGTGATTAAAGCCGGTAAGGGTGAGATTATTGAGGCGAAATCACCTTATTCTCAATATGCAACAGTCGGCTCAGCTACTCACTGTTTTGTGGATCATAAAAAATTTCCATTGCACCGCGATGATTATCAATTTCTCAAGAGTTGCGATATTTTCATATTATCACAAATGTACATTAATTCATTTTTAATGCAAGGCCCCGAAGTAGATATGTCGGCTTTTGAAATTAAAATGTAATCGATTATCTTAGAAATGCGATACTTTCTTGAGAAAAGATATTCTTGAATTTGGATTTCACCTAACAAAAAATGTATTATTATTATTATTATTATTATTAATTTCGCCAGAGAAATAAATTCTAAGACTAAACTCTTCAAAGCACTAGCATTTAAGGCTATCGGCTTTTTATTAGAAACTCTACCGCACTTGAGATTCGAACCCACGACCATTGACTTGCTAGTCGAGATTCCTCCCCTTCGGCTACTCAGGCGGATAACAAAAAAATGTAATTCTGAGCAGATGTGGACGATTAATTTTGTCTAAGCGGTTGCTTTATAATTTTTATAGCTCAAAATTTGTTATACACGAAAGCCTATCCACAACTAAAAACTAAGATTTGTGCTTAACAGCGACGTATCCTAAATATGGGCCCCACTAAGCACAGGTCCTTATTAAGAGAATTTGAAATAAAATTAAATAATTGAAGAATTAATTATATTTAACATATAAAGCACAACTTTTGTCAGGAAAGTATTTTAAGTTAAGTGTCATATGTTTAATCAGCTCGGGTAGTAATCACTTATGAAGAATTTAGCTTTCGTTTTTCGTATTCAGCTGTTTGCCAAACACGGCTGAATGCAAAGGCGAAAGCTGATTTTCACCTACGTGATTATCGTCCTGATTAGTATATTAAGTCTATTGCGAAAACTTTATATAATCCATTAAGAGATCTAATTTTATTTAGTTAAAATCATTAAAATCTAACTTTGTTTAATTCATTAAAACAATGAACGATTCTGGGCTTTAATTCATTGTCTTTAATGGGCAAATTTTTGTATTTCGTCTTTTTAGTAATCAAAAGCGTAACGATATATTCAGTGCTTTCTAGCATTCTTGTATTGTCAGGTAAAAAAAACGCTCAAAAATCACATTTTCATCGGGTAAAGAAATGCCGAAGTGAAACGTGGCAAAATCGTGTTCGGTCGCCCATAAGAACCAACCTTATAAACGTGAGTTTGCCTTTTCGCTTCTGTTTCACTCGATCTAGCAGCCTGGTGTACATATATACAGTACCCCAACAAAGTCTACATACAATGCAAGAAAACAAGGTTTCTCTATTATTAAAAACGGCACTTATGGATTGAGGGTCAAAAAAATATATTTCCTTAAAAAACAAAAACTTGTGTTAAACAATAGTTTAAGTTTTTTCTGACTTAAGATAAAGTTATAAACAAAAAGAAATATATTTTAACCTCAAAGGAAAAACTAGAAGATTCGAAAAGAAAACATCTTTAGTGAATTGTACTGATCGGTTCAGAAAGTTGTTTTAAATCGACTTAAGCTTGTCTGTCCGTCTTGGTCTTTTTGTATTCAATCTATAGGACGCAATTTTTGAGGTATTTTGACGAAATTTAGTACACCGTATCGTACGATAGCTCGGTACGAAGGAAAAGTCTAATCCCTAGTTTTATATGAGGAAAACTTAAAAATAATAAAATTCTTAGGAAATAAATTAAATTTATAAAATTTGGATTACGTCATTTGTAAAGGGGCGATTAATGGTACTAAGCGTACAGTATCTAATAGTCGGCCTTGTCCGACTATAATATACTTACTTGTTATGTTGCGTATTATACGATAGCTCGGTAACGAGAATCGTACACCGACAACTGTTTTTTCGCCGAGAGAATATTTTAAGAATATGGAGTTGTGTGGACACGGACGCGATTCACTTAACTTGAAAAAATAACAAGAATCTTTCGGAATTACTTGAGCGCAAAATTCCTTGGCAATAAAATAAAATTATTTTTATTTGGGATAAAGAATCGGCTCATATAAGCGATTTTAGAATGGATCGAATTGAATATTGCGTCATCAACTATATTCATCAAGTGAATTATGAAGTTGAACACTAAATTAACCACTGTTTTCTGCAAGTTTAAAGGGATGTAAGTATTTGTGTATTTAACTATTCAAATTTTAAGTGAAATGCAAAGTTGTTATATAAGGTAGTGACGAATAAAATGTAGTCGGATTATAAGATAAATTTGATTTTGCATAGCTTAAGCGTGGAATAGGATCAATATTTCAGACAAGCAGATCTTCGCTTTATTGTACGCGATGTGGGCATTAAAAAAAATTCGGCCACAATCGAATATAACTTCTTGTTTGTTTTGTATTTATTTACCCTACACCACTTTTGGTACAGGCTATATTAAATTTGTGCGGACGCCCAGACGGACCCACCATTTATTATTCCGATTGACTCAGAATCATTTTCTGAATCTATCTAAGGTGTCTGTCCGTCTGCAATCTGTCCACGTATTCTTATGCTCAACCTACAGATCGCAATTTTCAAGATATATTGATGAAATTCGGTACCGGGTACGGTCTAAAGACGAACGCTATTGAAATTGGTCCGGATTGGATCAGTTTGTCGACCACTGACTGTATCTTGACAAGTTGTTATAAGAAAGAAGACTGTAATTTTTAGAATGTCGTGACATGAATCACAGATTTGAAAATGATTATAACCGTACATATACCAAGAGAGCTATAATATGGACCTATTGGAAAATAAGAATGAAAAGAGGTAACTTACATGCTAGGCTTAATGAAACGCTGCGAATTTTACTTGAATTCATTTGAGATAATGGCTATGCTAGACTGTTGTCTAGTTTTTATAGATTTAATCGGTTGGAGGGGAAAGCTCTGTCGTATGTTATTCATGTATTTTGCTTTAACACAAATCCAAGAGATTTAATGTGATCTCCAATAGTTGCATGATGAATGCCTAACTCTTTTGCAATTTCTCGACTTGCTAAATGTGGATTAGTGTCGCGTCATTCTAAATTGATGTAACAATTTTGTATCGGGTGGGACAATTTTTTGAATCCTTGTTCCATAATTGAAACTTTACATAAAAATTGATTTGTGACGAATTTGGATCACGTATGTCTATTTTTTGAATCCCAACCGATATAAGAATACCAATGAAGAATAAGGCGCTTTATGTGAAAAAAAGTCGAATTTTCAATATTTTGTGGCGAAAATTTATCCTTTGTAAATCAACAGCATAGGAAATTTGGATCTCCATAGATCTATTTTTTAGAACGTAACTTAAGTAGGAGATCGCATGGAAACAAACCTTTCTATGGCGACAAAGTCTAAATTGTGATGTGAAATGACAAGATCTTATATACGAGTCGTCCAATATAAGGGCTTTCATGAAAATTCTATATTGGCATACAACTAATATAGAATTTTTGATGTATTATTAATTAAGCGAAGTGGTATCAATTATCTAATGGTCAACCTTGACCAACTAGAGTGTTCTTACTTGTGTTCCTTTTTTGTCTATATATAAATAAATCGAATAATCTAATTATAACAATTAGAAAAATGTGAATGTATACATTATATATATATCGCGTTGAATTTGTTTTTGAAGTGATATTTATTTTGATATAAATCATAGGGGTATATTTAATATTTAGTTTATAATTTAAAATATTATAAAATAGAAAATAAATTTTACCTTAAACATCATTATCATCTTCACCAATAGGGTAATAGGTAATAAGCACAATAATCACAATAGTAATGATAATGCAATCATAAAATAATTTAAATATAATATATATTAGCGTTATATCGTAACATACGCATGCATGTATGTATATATGTGAAGATATAATTATCGAAAAATATCTATTACAATATGTGGCGGTAAATGTTATTACATTATTTATTATATATTATATAAGCAAAGTACGACCGACTACAGTCATTAAAAACTATTTGGCTTTTTTACTTAATACGCATTCCGAAGCTAATGGTTATCATTGATATTGCTATGAATAATAAGAAATAATTGCTTAATATTATATATATATTTTTCTCTTTTTGTTAAATGATTTCATTGTTGAATATATATTGCCATAATGATAAGATTTTTGATGATTAAACAACCAAAAGGAAGAAACAATTTTATGCATCTTAAGGCATCGAATCGGCCGATATCCGATGAAAAATGGATAATTAATATTATTAATTAAATCAAGGTCTGAAGAAGAATATTTTCTACCGATTTTTTAAAAATGTCAGAATTTTCTTTACATAGGATTTTGCATAGGTAGAGTATAAAAAATTGTTATTTCTTTCTTCGAATCGACAAACAGACAACCAGACAGATAGACAAACGAAAAAATCAATATCACAAAATAAATTTTCATCTGATCATATTAGCACTTATTAAAAAAAAAACAAAAATATACATATATGAATGGAAAAAATTTATATAATAAATATATATATGATATGAAAAATATATATTTACGAAATTCATCTAAAAAAAAAAAAAAAAAACAATTTTACATTATAACTAAGATTGCATTTACGTAGGCTATTGACAATTATTATCCGGACTTGTTTAAATAACAAATTTTGATCGCTTTCTTAATCGTTCACTTTGTCTATTGAACTAAATACTCCATGGTTTTTATAAATTTAACCACTGAATCGAATAAGGTCCAATGAAATTGCTCTTCCCCATCAAGTTTCTCACCGATAAAACATGTAATGTATTCCACAGTAGATAACAGAAACGGTGGATTGGCCTAAAAATGATTAAAAAACTGTGAATATTTAAAAATTTCTGCTGGGAAACAAATTATTTTCGAAATGGATGCAATTTTTCATTTTCGATTTTTTATACCCATCGTCGAAAGATGAAGGGTACATTCATTAGATGAAAACGCAACAAGATGGCTAATAATGTCAGCGTATGTTGGAGACATGGTTACGAACATCAAAAAAAAAAAGAAGAAAAAAAAAAAAAAAAAAAACAGTTCGAAAGTCGAAAATGCGTAACTCACGAAATTTCGAAAGTCAACTTTTTTTGAACACAACTCCAATATAGGTATATCTATGTAGATTAAAATTTATTAAATATTTTTCTTATTAAAAATTAAAAAAATTATGCGAGTATATTAAGAAATTCAATGTAAGCCGATCAGAAATCCCTAGCGAAACTAAGTAAATTAAGAAATTAAATTCAATTTATTGTGAGTCTGTCAGTTATTTATATGGTCAGTTGTATGTACGGTGTACGAAATTTTTTTAAAAACTTATTACAAAACGTCAAAACGACATTTCGTTACTCAGGATTTTTTTTTTTGTGTTAGAGCGCTTAGTCCGTAGGATGCAATGATCAAATTTCGTACAGTCTATGGTAATAAAGAAGTAAATAATGGCGGACTCGAAGGTAAAGTTCAGCTATTAAAGTTTGCTTAAATTCGCGACGACTTGAAATTCGCTACAAGTATCGCACTGTATTTTCTTATTCATGATCCTGCCATGGAGCTTGCATTAAAATTTCAATAGAATCTTAAGTTGTGTGTAACCGCTTATCAAGAATTCTATAAGCAACTTGAGAAACCAAGAAAAACATCTGCTAATAACTGACTTTATTACAGCAAAGAAATCAATAATGAACGGAATTCTTCATAACGATAGTAGTTTTGGGCCATTTTACGTGCACGCTTATTATCAAGCCACGATGAATAGCTGTTAAATTGATTTTTATTCCAAATTTCAATTTAAATTTGTATATACGATGTACATATGGACTGAATTTTCACTGCGTATTAATTTTGTTTTTTCGCTGTTTTTTGTTATAAAAAAGAATTGTTTTTATTTTATAATAGTAATATGGATTTCATTATAAACTTTTTTTGTACGATTTTTTGCGAAAATATTTACAGTTCATTCATTTTGCACGATTTTTTTTAAATTGTGTAGCATATCCTTAAATTTATCAAATTTTGCATATGTTTTTTGCATGAATTTTTTGCACAACTTTTTAAGGAACTTTGTCAGGCGTGTAAAAAAAGTGTGCCAATGCATCTGACCAGCTACACTGCATGCCGCAGAGCTCATCAAATGCAATATATTTACTGATGTTGGCGGTTTTCATATTTTTCAATTATATATATTTTTTATTTCTATGATATTTGAATAATATTTCATATTTAAAGAAATTTCCTCAATATTAATTAATATTCTTTTAACTTTTTTCACGCGAAAAAATTGTCGAAAAAAGAAAAGAGTTAAAGCTGTCACTGAAAATGCATGAAAATTTTTAGGTTTTATGCAAAATTTTACTGTTTTGGTTGTTCGCTCATTATCAGCGCTTTCCAAGTTCATGTGTTTAATGCAACTATCATCACCTTAGCCATTAGCATTTCAGATTTTACTCGGGAATATGGTCATGAATATATCTACTTGGAAATGTAAGCTTAATTAGGGCAAATACTCAATTGTAAGAAAATCAATGAACGATTGATTCAATCAATTTTCACTTTTATTATATTCTCCACATATATTGACCATATATTCTATATAGACCTACCTTCTGTAATGCTTTCCTAGCTATTACAAATAGAATCACAAAATTTGCTTGCAATCTCTTATATTGGACACGAACGCTTTAGCTTAGATTTTCTTGGCTTGACTTCTGTTAACAGTCAGATAATAGAACTGTATCGAAACTCAACGAAAGGCTAAATTCATAACTTTTAGATTTCATCCGGCTATGAGAGAATATATATAGCCCGCCTTAAGTAATTTTTTAATTTAATCTAAAGAATGAATTTAAGGCAAAGACATATATAGCTTTGATGAAGTTAATAGTGATTTCAACAAAAGTTCAAACGGCGCATTCTTTCTTTTTCTTTTTTCTTAAGTAGTAGAAAAAATAAAAGAACAACCTACCATTATAACCACATATATAAGAACGGGTAATACATCATCAGCTGCTGGCGCTCTACCACTGGACATGTGCAATAAACTCATTATGCTGGAATTGCATCTAAAATATGTTAAATTGAATTATTTTTATAATTTAATTTTGCCAACACACACACACACACACACACACACAATTGCTGAAAATATTTTACCTAATAACACATTTTAATTTCTCTCTGGGCGTTTTGTAGGCAGTTATGTACGATAGTTGTTGTTGGGCAAAGCTCCAAGGTGCCTCAGATAGATACTCCTGCGGTATACACAAAGTCGGATGTGAAGGTGTTATCACATTTTGCAGTTTACGTATAAGTTCATATAAGAATCTGTAAATTGTCTTAATATTAATCGTGTAAAACTATTAATAGATCGCTCCGTTTAAACTTACGAATCTCTAGATAAGTCGGCATCTTCATTGGGAAACATCACCTGCTGATGCATACGTTGTAATAAAATGCGCTCCAAAGCGGCACGTGCCTCCACTTCCTGCCATTCGGGCATACCGTGCAATATGCCGCCAGTTGTTAATAACTCGTCCATTAGCGAATCGATGAACTCTTCAATTAATTCAATTTTGTCGTCGGATGATGTCAGACGAGCAAAGTCCCCTTGAAATCTATCGATTTTATCCTGCCTCTTCTCGATAAATAAACGCATACATACTGCCACCAAGTAGCGATTGCAAGTGCTACTCTCACTTCTTAATCGCGCCTCATATTGTCCGATATTCTCCATAATTAGCAAAAGATTCTGTCGAAAACGCATCAAATATTGTAAATAGCTTTGACGTTTTTGTATATCATTTTGCAATTCGTCCAATAGTTGTGCGTGTTGGCTTACATCTAAAGATGATATACAACGTATAGCCTCAGAAACATAAGAGATTTGTTGAAAGTTTTGCAAATTTACAGCTTGAGCTAATTGGATTTGCAAATACGTCAGCAAAGGAGAGGCATTTATTTGCTTTAATAGTTCAAAATTCAAATTAAATAATAAAACAATAATAAAAATCATAAGTTCACAGTCAATAGGCTTACCGTGGTGTGCCTAAAATCGGCTGAGTGTAAATCAGTCTTTGACAATACTGTACGTATTTTCTTCTTGAGGATGTTAAAGACCATCGCTTTGTCATGGAGAGATGCATGCTGATTTTCATTATGTAATTCTCCATTGATTTTATTGTCACCGCAAGCATTCCCGGTTCCGCAATTACCTGCGGATGAATTTGTTGCTTCGCTGGATGTGCTAACTTTGCGACGATATTTTGCCAATATATCTTCGTTCGTATCGTAGTAAAGAATGGTGCGCTCGTTTGTAACAGCCATTGGACAAGCGGACATATTTGCAGTCACTAAATCGAGCGAAACTTCTGATGTGTTGTTGCTAAATGAAACACTACGAGAATTTTGAGAGATATCATCCTGATTACCAATAGCTGTTTGTCTTTGCGATTTATAGCCGCGACGGTGCTTGAATATGCCCTGTTTCAGTTTATTAAAGATGCCTGAATTTGCCATCCCTAACGCTGGAGAAGTCCCTGTATTCCCTGTATGACGTACTGCATCCTGTAGACGTGTATTGCGTTGACGATTTGCTGAATTGAAATTGTTGGCTGACGATTTGTCTGCCGAAGCATCGAAACTAATACTTTTCGGTATGGCTCCGGTTGATTTATTCGGTTTCTGATTTGATATCACTGAGCTGGTCATTATGCCTGAAATGCTAACATTATGACCATTGTTGGTGGGAGTGTTGCGTGACAATTCGTGCTGAGCGTTATCCAGCGTATCGGGGCTCTTACTGTTATTAAGTTGCATTTGCGATATCTTGGCACATAATAGTAATTCTGGTTCTGAATTTTCTTGTACTTGTTCTTGATATTGCGAGCGTTTATCGTCGTCAGTTTGTTGTAAAGAGTTCGGCGAAAGATTTGGCAAAACCGAAACTCGTTTGTGTACTGCAGCTCTGATCATGATCTCGTGATTTTCATAGTTGAGACTTTGATGTTTACGTAAAGATGGTGTTATGTTAAGGTTGCCACTAGTTGAAACTTCACAACCTCCCCTTAAGGCCATTATGCCGTTACGGCGGCCATCGAAACCTGCTGATCGTCGTTCAGTTGATACCCCACGATGTTCGACTGTATCGTCACTAAAAATATCAATCGTTGGTGGTGCGGGCGGCGGCATGGATGGTGGAGTTAAATCTTTATCGTCACAGAAATCGGAAAAATCGATGAGATCCTTCGACTCATAATTGGTGGTATTTCGATTTCTTTGCTTTTTTTTTAAATGTTGATTTGATGATATTTTACAAGCGTTTGTTTCTTCTAAACTTAAACTCTGATTAGATATGCTACTCTCGGCGGAGGTTTGACGACGCATTCGTAACGTGGTCAAAAAGGAGTCTTTCTCATCGTTGTTGTTTGTAGATTTGTAGTTTTGCTGAAACGTATTTTCCCCGCCTACTTGATTTGTGGTACGCATACAACTTCGTGCCAAAGAAGAGACACCCTGATAATTATGGGAACCGTTCTCTCCAGATATAGGATTGTCTTCATACGAATTTATTGCGTCATAGAAGGCGGAATCTTCTTGCGATCGATCGCTAGCATTGCCGCCACTGCTGCCACTACCCTGTACATCATCAGAATGACGATTACTAGATGTCGCTGCTTTGTAATTGCTTGTTGACGAGTTAGACATTCTAAGTCCACGATTTGAGCGAGCTACGGAGTAGTGAGGCGTATTTGAAGATCGTTGACGAACGCATGGTGCTGATATGGCAGCCGCCAATTGATCTCGTTCATGTACGTAACGGACGCAGCCGTCGGCGGTGTCTGATCGGGCGGCTATACTGATATTATCATCGGTATCCACTTCATTTAATTTTTCAGAATCGCTAGCTAACACGTCAGTGCTCCAATTCGATTCAGATCTCTGATCTGAAGCGTCAAGGTAGCCGGAACGCATTCCTCCTGCCCCAGTTAATACATCAAAATTATTATCGCCAGGCAAAACAACAGCAGCCGGGATGAGAGGGGTGGAAAAGTTACGTTCGCGGTCTCTGCTTTCGGTATCCACCGTTTCGGAATCACTGGCACATATTACATCGGTGGACCACGTGTCCGAAATAATGGATACAGTTTCATCGCCCTCGAATTTTTTGATTTCAAATTTACAAAACTTATCTTCAATATCTGAGCGAGCTTTGGAGATAAGCTTTTGCATTTGTGGTGTGGGCAAAGCATTATTTAATGACTCTCCATCAGTGACTTGAGAAGAAGGCGTATCTCTACCGCTTATATTTGGGGTGCCTCGACCCGAGACATTAGCCGATACCATATCGGACAGATTATCATTCTGATCGTTTTCCTCCAATTCTAAAGAACTGGTAACCGAATGATTAGAGGGCACTTCGCTGACAACCTCCAAATTATCGGAATTACCTATTGATGCGTCGTCATGGGACAAGGAAAATCGTGAGTTTTTATTGTGCTGCGTCCTTAAAACGTCAGACATACCGTCCATACCATCGAAACCATTAACAACCGAAGATTTATCGACTGTAGACTCAACTTGATAATTTTCACTATCGACCAATTCACCGTTGGCTATTTCCTGACCAATGCTATTCATTTTCAAAACTTCTTCTTCAGAGAGTGGTTGCATTTTATTGTCAACACCCGAGTAAAAATTAAATATTAAGATTGATTCATTGGTACCATGATCAGTCACCTGTACACGGACAGGAGATGAATTCGTAGAATTATTTCGACTGCTAAGCATTAAGCCATCTAAACCGTTCATTTGGCAATTTTGACCATTTAGACCGTTCGATACGGTTTCCGATGGATTGATATGACCATTTACGCTTCCATGACTAAGGCTCATGCTTTTCGCCAATTTGCTTTTCGTAGCTTTACTCAAATTAATTAAAGATGGTTTAGTTTTCTCTCTAGCGCTGCCGTTGTCGGAGCCGGTTGTTTGACCATTTTCGAAGCTATTATTCGGAGAAAAATTGTCGGGTATATGTGATAGAATTTTTTTCAGTTTTTTCTTCTCGTCGTCGGAGATCTCGTATTCATCATTGATTGTCAGCATTCTGAAGAATTCAATAAAATGATTCAAATCGTTTTGGGTAATCAGTAAATGGATTCTCTCGAATTCACTTTGCTGAGCCAATATCGCTACCACATCTTCACCCGATTGGTTTTCCAACAATAAATCGATAAGTTTGGTAACCATATTACTTTGGAACTTTGTATGAACAGCAACAAACTTGGCATCTACGTCATCGTATTTGGCCAAGGCCAACGTTTGCACAACCTGAGCAATTTGCATCAGATTGAAACGTATTTGTTCCGATATTGGAGCATCAACTATGCCCAAAATATCGGGACTAATTATGGCCGGGCAAATAAAATGTGTAAAAACCATATCTGTAATGATCTCATTGATAACTTGATCTGAAAAATGGTGGGCTTGCTTCAACTGATGGCACATGGTCTGTATAAGCCAGCGCAAAGTTGATGGAAACAAAGACCAATTGCCAAGCAGACTGTCAATAAATGTCTTGCTGATTTTGTATAATTTTTCTATAGTTTCTGCATGAAATTTATCAATATTCTCCCAATAGTCACTAGAGTTTTCCTCGCCAAATCTATAATAAAAATAAAAAGAAATAATGAAGAAGATGAGATCAGGATGACCGATAATCATTTACATCTTACAATTTTATCTTTTCTTTGCTGGATAAATTTTGAATAACTTTAATAGGGTCAACGTCTAATACGGTCTCGTTGTCGCTCAAAACCTCCATAATGGGTTGAAACAATGTCGCTGTCAAAAAGATTTTAGCCGAAAATGTTGATTCAATCATATTATGATATAATCTAGCGAATGATGAAGCATTCGGACGTAGCAGGCGTTTAGGGCTATCGTCTCCAACAACAATCTGGATCTCAATAAGTTCACGCAGTAATTTCAGCATCATTTCTACGTCCTTTGTATTGATAGCATTGCCAAAGAGACCCGTACTAACTGTCCGCGTAACAGAAGCCATATGCTGTTGTGGTATATCAGGTAGGCGATCGCCTGTTGCTAACGATACCGCCAATATATATGGGGAATGATAGAGAAAATTGAATAGTTCCTCATAACCGAGAACATGCTAATGAATAAAAGTGAATATATTTTTCATTAAAATCATCTCTAATTATATTTTTTATATATAAGTTTTTCACATTGTACCTGATAATCGAAAATCTTTTTCGCATCAACGAACGTAACGACCTCATAATTGCGGGCCCGGCGGCAACATAACGAAGGCCCCACTTCTGGACGCGATACAATCAAATCATTTAGATTACGTCTTTGTTGGGCACATATATAAGCCAACTAAATAACCATGTACACGCACACAAGTACATTCGATATTTAAGAGGAAAAAAGTAGAGTTCTACAGTGAAATGCAGTCCACAATTAAATACCGTACACCATTTTGCCGAATACAGTCATTCATACGAAGGCGATCTCTCAAAATAAGACGTTAAATGGGAAGTGATCGGAAAATTGCTCCACAATATGTTGCACCGCTATATCATTTCATTTCATTGAAATATCTCCAAAATTGCGATCCGTAGATTGATCACAAAAAAAAAAAAACCGAGTCGGACAGATAAACTACTAAAACCGATTCGGAATCACTTCAATGACAGATGGATCGATCTCAAGTCCTTTTCACGTTTGGTATACATATACCCATACATACGCATTAATACGCCTACATAACCCGTCCACCGCAAATGGTGTATGGTATAAAAATAGTCATCATTTTAAAACGGTTAAAGATTTATTTACCGCTTACCTTTGTTATCGATATTGAATTTTGAGATAAAGTTTCAGTTAACTGAGCGAATGAATTCTGTTCTTGCTGTATGAACAATTGCTCTTGACGTAAAGTGCGCGCCAAATCCATTATCTCCAAGAGATTTCCTTCCGCATTCGTTTCCATTGCATGAGTTTTGCAGCAATAGTTATATACTTTTGGGAAATTTTTCGTTATCTCGTGTAACTTTAATCTACGGATTTACTATTTATTATAAATTTTGTTAAATTATACTTTAATCAAATTGGTCGTCCTTTTTAGCGAAAATTAGCAAAAAGGGAAGAAGAAAGAAAGACGACTGCGACTAATTGCACCAAGCAAAGCTTTTACGCATTTTTATTGCTTTCTATTAAAATCTTTTCTTTTTTTTTTTTTGTTGTTGTTCTGTATTAGCATTTAGTTTTTAAACTAAAAAAAATCTGAAAATATTATCTGAACGTATTATTTATAAAAAAGCAAATATAATGAGCCGTAAGCGGAATTTATTTATAATACGGCTATAGAATTTTTCATTTCTTTTTTATACCTATCGCTCTAACATGGGTATGCACTTATTTTATATTTTCCCATAATGTATGCAAAAGTCAAAAGGAAGCATCAGAGACGCTACAAAATATCTATATATATATATATATATGTTCTTGATCAGCATGAAAGTCTGAGTTGACTTCGCCGTATCTGTCCGTTTGTGCGGTGATTGGTGTGGACACTCCCCTGGTCGTAAAAATGAAGATTTTAAATTCAAATTTGGTAGAAATATTGAAAGTTTCCGCATGCAGGTTAGTATTGAAAATGAGCCAAATTGGTTGTAGCGGAAGCGCACATTAAAGCGAAAATTGAATGCAACTCTGCTTTTTTTAACAAAAATTTTCGAATTTTTGCTCATCGTTTCTCGGAAATTATAAAAGTTAGAAGACTTGTGTTCAGTGCAGTGCGTGTTTTCTATTCGTCTGCGTTTTTTCAATTGTTTCGGTGTTTTCGGTGTTTTTGTGTATTTAACTTCTGTCTTTTCGGTGTTATTGCTAAAACTGGTTAACGCGGATATCGCGTATGTGCTTTTGTTTCGTCTATATATAATAAAAAATAGAAAACAAAAAACAAAATAAAAAAAATAAAAAATTGAAAACATTTGACACTTTTCTTTAGTAGTTCCCAACCTTCTTGCACAGTTCCCAAACCTTTTCAAGTGAGTGGTTATTTCAAAAATAATAATAAATAGACAACAATAAGGCATAATGGCCCCGGGGCCGCCAGACAAAAACCCGAATAGATTTTATCTATTAAGTGATACATCCCCCCAAAGAAAAAAAAGTAAAAAATCAGATTTTCCGGTGTTGCCGATCAGCGATATAATCCCTATTGATAAAAAATATATTGTTATTTCTTCAACGGATGCTCGAATAACAATTTCCCAAATTAGCCCTTTTGCTATAAAAAAAGCTCTAGATAGCATTACAACATACATCGACTCGATCTCGATTCTACGCGATGGGAATTTACTGGTCCTCGCTGGGAACCCGCGCGCAACCGAAAAACTAATAAAGGCCAATTCTTTAGCTAATCTATGTGCTATTTCAGCTAAACTACATGAGAAACTTAACTCGGTTCGAGGCGTAATTTATGCCCCTTGCTTAAAACATGTGCCGGAAGATGAAATTGTTCGCGAAATGGGCATTCAAGGAGTGACTGAAGCATATAAATTAACCAAACTGAATGATGACGGAAAAACACGCTCTCCTACAGGAAGGATTATTTTAACTTTTGATCGCTATCGATTACCGCGAACAGTTGATGTGGCGTGGTATAAATGTAAAGTAGAACTATACATCCCAAATCCTATGAGGTGTAAAAATTGCCAACGCCTGGGTCACACGGCAAAAAGATGCACTAATGCTGCATCTTGTGCTAACTGTGGTCATCCTCCACATACTGAAAGCTGTACCCGTAGTTTCTGCATAAATTGCAATGATCAACACTCAGCGTTAGACAAACAATGCCCACGTTTTGTACAGATGCGTGAAATATTAAAAATCAAAACAGAAAATTACTGTAGCATGGGCGAAGCGCGACGCACATATCGGGAAAGAAATCCATCTGTAGCCCATGGAATTGGCAAAAGTAATACCTATGCTGCTGTTGCCTCGCATATCGAGCCTAGTAAGACTTTAACTGCAACTGCTTCCAATGAAAAACCTGTTCCACCATTAACCAAAAATTATATTGCGAAACCAGTTACATCACTTGCCAAAGATAATATTGAAAAAACCAAAGCAACTGCAAATATTGAAAAAATTAAAACAACAACACATATGCTAAAATCTAATATACCAAATTCTCCAGAATCTTCAGCTCTCAACTTTACTCAACATATCACAAGTGGTAATGAATCCATTCTTTCATCCATTAATCAACCTTCGAAAACCAAAGCAACTGCAAATATTGAAAAAATTAAAGCAACAACACATATGCTAAAATCTAATATACCAAATTCTCCAGAATCTCCAGCTCTCAACTTTACTCAACAAATCACAAGTGTTAATGAATCCATTCTTTCATCCCTCAATCAACCTTCAATTTCAAATTATTCACGTGCGCCAACCCGTTGCACTTCAAATGTACCAAATCACCTAAATACAGATTATTCTGCTGGTAAGAATAAATCATTCACGAAAAATTCCTATAGTGACCTTCTCGACGGAGACGCTGACATGTCAACTTAACCCTCCCTCCACTCTGCTTACATGTCATTACAATTAAATAAAGTTTTTAAAATTCTACAATGGAACATTAAGGGACTTATTAATAATTTTGATGAACTCCGTGCACTCATAAATGATTTTAATCCAACCTTTTTATCGCTTCAAGAAACTCATTGTAGAAGCTCTTTTAATCCTATTCCACCCAAATCATATACTGGATACTTCACGAATGCTGATCAAAATTTACATTCCAAACAAGGAGTTGGTGTTTTTATAAAATCAAGTATACCTCACAAACGCATAAATTTAAGCTCAAATATACAAGCCGTAGCGATACAAATAATGTTAAAAATAAAATTTACAGTGCTTTCGCTCTATATTCCACCTTCGCAATCGTTTTCTCAGCAAGAACTCTACAGTTTATTCTCCGTACTTTCCCCCCCATTAATTATATGCGGCGATTTCAACAGCTGGAATACCATCTGGGGCTCAACAGTGAACAACACTCGCGGTACTGTTTTAGAAAAGGCCTTTTTTCAAAGCAACCTTTGCGTTTTAAATGATGGAAAACCAACGCACTTCTCAACTCATCATACTTTTTCACATATTGATTTAACATGTTGCTCTCCATCACTTCTTCCTTTGGTGTCCTGGTCTATTTCTGATGATCTATATAATAGTGATCACTTTCCAATCATAATCGATCTTAAACTTTCAACGTCCTCTGCTACTCCAGCAAAACAGGCCAAATTCCTCCTAGATAAAGCGGATTGGATCAATTACTCCAAACAGGTGGAGTCATTTTTGAACTCAAAGCCATTTAACGGAAACTGCAACCATGATGCTGCTATTATGTCTAAATCGATTCGCACGGCTGCTCATCTTTCTATTCCTCAATCCAACACCTCTTTTAAACGAGCTAGGGTTCCATGGTGGAACAACACGCTTTCGTTTTTGAGGAAAAATAAAATGGATCTATGGCACCGCTTTAAGAGATGTCCTGATCAGAATCACTTGTTATTATACAAAAAGGCCAATGCTCTATTCAGGAAGGAATTACGGAAATCAAAGGCACTTAGTTTCGAACTTTTCTCGAGACGAATTCACAGAAATACATCAATGAAAGTTGTCTGGAACAGAATCAACAGACTTAATGGGACTTCAAACCTGAACCAAATTTCTGCCATCTGCACTCCCAATGGAACTTTAACTGACGCAGATGAGATTTCTAATTACTTTGGAAAAGTGTGGTGCGAATACTCCTCTGACAGCAACTTCTCCAGTGCTTTCATTGAAAATAAAAGGACTCCAATATCTCCTTCAAATAATATCGATAGATGTGCCATGTTCCTGGAAAATAGCGTATCTACCTCAGAACTTGGAAGTTGTCTCTCCAATTTGAAGGGGAAGACACCTGGTCTAGACCGCATCTCATACCAAATGATCAGTGCTATGTCTAAGTCTAGTAAAAAGAAATTACTGGACCTATATAATACGGTATTTATGACTGGCCATATACCCTACATGTGGAAAATGGCAACAGTTGTTCCAATTCCAAAGTCAAAAAATGTCTCCATCGCATCTGATTATCGCCCAATTTCTCTTTTATCTTGCCTCTCAAAGGTTTTAGAGAAGATTATGGCATCTAGATTATCTTGGTTTCTTGAATCCAAGAACCTGATAACAAAGCAACAAGTTGGTTTCAAGCGGGGTAGAGGATGCATCGACGCTCTGTTACATATTGATTATTTCACAAGCAAAGCAATTTCCGAACGAAATCACGTAACAATTCTCTCAATTGATTTCGAAAAAGCATTTGACAGAGTTGGTCTTCATGTTATCTTAAGACTCTTGAAATCATGGAATGTTGGACCCAAATTCTTCAACTACATCAAATCATTCATGTCGCATCGGCGGTTCAAAGTTAGAATCAACAATCATCTTTCTGATTCCTTTCCGCTAAAGAATGGCATTCCGCAAGGATCTCCTCTCTCTGTCACGCTTTTCCAGATAGCTTTCAACGAAATTAGCGAAATTCTTTGCCGTGTACCAAGAGTGGAACATTGTCTCTACGCGGACGATGTATACATTTTTACAAAAGAAAAAGACAACACGAAAGCAATCAACATCCTCGAATCTATTGCATGTGAGATCTCCACATGGGCAAACTCGTCAGGAGCTATAATCTCTATACAAAAGTCAAAAAAAATGCACATTTGTCGAAAACAAATGTGCGATGCAGGAAACCTACTGACGCATATTAACGGCTTACCAGTACTAAATGTGCAGACGCTCCATGTTCTCGGGCTCACCTTCTCAAACAATTATCGTTGGAAAGCACACTGCCTTCGTTTAAAAAACTCCCTTTTAACAAGGGTAAATTTCATACAGTACGTTGCTTGGAGAAGCCATGCGCATATTAACACTATCGCTTATCTTACCAAAATGCTTGTGTTAAGCAAGATTGACTATGCTTTGATAATTTATGGCAATA